GAATGCCCAGAGGGGATCTACTCCATGGAGCGCTCAGGCTGGCATCCACTCACCTCCCCCACCCAGTGACCAGGGCACACATGCTCAGAGCCACCCCTGGCTTGTCTGGGCCTGTCCCAGAGAGCCCCGATGGCTGCTGAAGCTGTGCTGCCCCTCCAGGCCGGTGTTTCTGGAGCTTAGGTGTCATTGTTGAGGTCTGGCCAATCCCCTGTCCCCCTAGCTTAAGCAGGGCCAGGGGCCAGTGCCTGCAGAGGGCAGGGGCAGCTCTTGAGACCACGTCTGAGCAGACCAGAACGTGGTCTCAAGCGGTCTCCATTCCATCAGTGCCCCCTGCCCAGGCCCGGCATCCTAAGAGGCCTGGGCGAGCCCCACACCCTCTCAGCTGCCAGCTGGGCCTCCCCAGCCAGGCTGGATGAGGGAGAGTAATAGGACGAGGCCAAGCACTGCAGGAGCCACGCCGGGTGCAGTCCCCACCCAGGGCTCACCCCCAGCCCTGTGCAGGTCCCTCCAACAACATGATGCTCATGACGTTTACTGCTGTCCCCTGCAGCTGCTGGTGACCAACCCTATGGATTTCCTCCTGGGGAGGATTTATTCAGGCATCCTGCTCAGAGCAGGAGAAAGCAGGGGATGCTGAGGCCCCGGAGTGGGCTCAGCCCCCAGAATGCACCGGGGGAGGACCGGAGAGTCCCAGAGGCCACGTGCCCTCTGCAGAGGAAGAGTCAGGTCCCTGATCCGGAGCAAGGTGGGGTGGGGATGCAGGGAATGGCGCAGGAGGGGACCACGAGAACTGGCTGTGCCTCGGGCGCCCTGTCCCTTCCCTTTTGGTCCTGTTTCCTTGTCTGGACTGAGAGCGGTCTGACCCAGCCGTGCTCTGATCCCCCTGAGGGACACCTTCAATTCAGCAAGTCAGTGTGTGTGGGGGGGTCATACGGCGATGGTAGGGGTCTGCAGCTGGCAGAGACTCCTCTCAATTGAAAGAAATATAAGAGACACTCAGACCTAATGCCCTGGGCTAGATCCTGTTCTAGAAGAGCAGAACAAGGGGGCTGGCAGATGGCATGGTGGTTAAGGCACTGGACTCCCACATGGCCGACCATGGTTCGAGTCCTGGACCTGGTGCCTTGCTTTCTCCTTTTCCTCTCTCTCTTTCTCTCTGGTCAAATTTTAAAACATTAATAATGATAATGAATAAAATTAAATAATTCTTTCAAAAAAAAGAAGAAGAAAGCAGAACAGGACGTGCAGGGAGAATCCATGGTAGGACCTGGACCAGAGGCAGACGCTCGTGCTGTGTGGGGTAACGGTCCTGGGGTAGGTAGGGACCTGCGGGGTGGGGCAGATGCTGTAGCGTCTGCAGATACGTCAAAATACCGTCACCTTCGTGTGTTTGATGGCCCAAAGACCGCGAAAACGCAAACCGCTGTGTGAACTGTAGGATTCGCAAGCGTTAAGGATACCGTTCTATTTTCCATTTCTTCCTATAAGCCTGATGCTTTTCATTATAAAAAGGTTAAAAAATAGACTGCTTTCTAGAAGAACAGAAGCCGAGACCACCCTGTGATCCGACTCTGGGGAAAGGGCCTGACATGGGTAGTTTAAGGCCCAGGGATCTCTAGGGCCGTGGGCAGGCTCAGATTCAGGCCTCAGGTTCACGGGGGTGTCTAGGGCTGTGGGCCCCCAAGGCCCTGCCATGGCTCAGGGGCCAGAGCCAGGAGGTGACATACCTCTGGGGCCCACGAACCTCCCTCGTGGTCACTGCCACACCCTGCAGCCAAGCCCTGTCACTGCCCAGAGCCGCTGACGTCATCCTCCCCATAGCCCCACCCAGCGGAAGGGTAAGGCTGCAGGGACAGGACATGCCGTCCCTGGGGCCCAGCGCTGCTGCCACTTTTCCTGGACACCTGCCCCTGCCAAGGGTTAACTCAGCAGAGGGGATGGCTGGCTCCAGGCCCCTGTACCTGCCCCTTCATGGTCTTCCGTAGCCTCAGCTCACCCCCGCCCTCCCTGCTTCCATGCAGAGGCCAAAGTTAAGAGGACTGGGGATACCCTTGGAAGGGGAGGGCTGGAGTCGCCCTGGGGGAAGGAGGACGAAGCCAGAAGAGGGGCAAATGCCAGTTCTGTTAGCTCGTTGGGAAAGTCACGGCGCATTCTGCGCAGAAAAACGTAGGAAAATACAACAGGACTTCCAGACCCCCTAATATATTGCCGAACCGCCCCAGCAACCCACTCGCACCCCCACCTCCACCTTGTACATAGGCGCAAGCACAGACGTGCAGACATACCGGAGACACTAGCACCCACACAGGCGGGCTCCTAGCCAGCCCGGGTGGCGACCAGGCCCCTGTGGTATGAACGGGCCCGTGGCCATGAGACCCTCTCTGCCCAGCAAGGCCGTGCCCGCCCAGTTCCTAATCTCAGACACTCACCGGAGCCTCCTTCCCAAGAGCGAAGAGCGTGGAGAGCGTGTGCAAGGGGCAGGCCCACGGAAAGGAGTGGTCTCCACACAGGCGCTCGGCAGCAGCCCTTCCCAGAGTGCAGGGCTCTGTGTCCACTGGAGGCCCGAGGAGAGGTCTGCCCAGAGCTGAGCCGCTGGAGGCCTGGGAGGGGAGGGTCACCTGACCTCGGAAGGGCTGCCCGGCTGGTATGCCCAGCTGCCTGCTGGCCGCTCCGCTGCTCTGGGGCAGGGCCAGGGCGCCGGGAGGAGGGGGGCCGGGAGGAGCATGCGGGAAAGAGAAGGGGCAGGCGGAACTGCAGGAGTGGTCCGAAGGGGAGGGTGGGTGTCAGGCCTGGCCCCAAAAGCCTCTGCTAAGTTTTGATCCGTTACCCAATCAGACGGTAAAGCTGGGATGGCGTGTGTGCTGCCCTCCCCACCGGCCCCACCCCGTCCCAGCAACCGCACTGCAGGTCGCCCACACTGCGGTAGGGAGCACTGCCATGCAGTTAGTCAGACTGAGGGTGTCCTGCACCAACACGCGTTTTCCGAGGTGCCGAGTGGGCCGGACTCTCCACCAAGGAGCGTCCTAGATGAGCAGCCGTCATCAGACACTGGGGCGGGCGCAGCCTGCACGTCTTCCAGCATAGGTTGGGTGGGAGAGAAGCATCGGACTTAGGAGAGTCCCTCACCCAACTTGGGGTGGGGTGGCAAAGGCAGGGAAAGCACCCTGGAAGAGGTGGCCCGCTGAGACCTGAAGGAGAAACAGTGTCATTGGGTTGGACGAGGAAGGGTGGGAAAAGGGCTCTGGCTCAGGAAAGGGCAGGTGCAAAAGCCCAGAGAGGGGGTGGGCGGGGGGGGAGAGCTCAGGGAGGGGGCAGGGCGCAGTGCTGCACAGGTGTCTGACCGAGGGGGTGGGCGCTCACGGAGCGGGGAGGGTGAGCTGCCTGAGCTTCTCCGAGGAAAGGAGTCTGTTTGTCGGGAGGAGGCGGCTCCGGTCTGGTCTCCAGTGCCCGCTCCCTTGAGGCGTTTGGATGGAGGCAGGCCGTGGGGGGAGGCGGTGTCTGAGGTCCTGGGGCTGTCTCCCAGGTGAGTCGTTCCTGCTGGGGTGGGAAGGAGCAGGTGAGCTCCGGAGATGCAATCGGACAGTCTCAACCAGGTCTCTGGGGACAGGAGATGGGACCAGGCAGATGTTCATCGGGGACACAGGCCTGAGTGAGCCTGCTCAGTACTAGGAAGGTCCAGGTTGGCCCGCCTGTCCCTTCCTGGGCTGTGGGTGACAGGCCTCCAGGGCCTCAGCCTGCTCTCTGGCCAGAGGCTCCGTGTAACCCCTCGACTCACTTGCTCTGGGATCCAGGTCCTGGCTCGTCCCCAGGACCCCTCACCCACCTCCTGGCCCCCAGATCTGCTGGTGCAGCCCCGAGGTGGGAGGGCTTCCTTGTCTCGCCCTTCCCCTTTTCCACATGTCCGCGGGAGGCACCCCACGCACAGCCTTGTCTCCCTCCCTGCTCACTTATGGAGGCCAAATGGGAAGTGAGGCAGGACTGGAGCCAGGCCTGCCGCCCGTCTGACAGCCACGGTGTCCCCAGGACCCGCTGTACCTGCTCCGGGGCCGGCGTGCAGGGGCTGCCAGCAGATGGGCTACCAACAGAACAAGGTGTAACGGGAGGGCCAGCCGCCATCAGCTGCTCTCCCCGGGCCGTGCACGGCCATTCCTGGGGGGCCCTGAAGCCAGTTTAAAGCAGAGTGGGGGTCCATGTATGCCCTTCGTCCCTGCCCACCCCAGCCCAGGGTGACTGATCACATTTCACCAGGGAAAGCAAACAGCCAGGCCGCCCTGCCAGTGCTGTCCCTCCTGTGAGCTCTGTCCCTGCTGCCCAGCTGCGTGCAGCTCCGGCTCCAGTTACCCGGCTCTGGAAACGGGTGAGTGACCTCCTTTGCCTCTAGCCGTCCCCCACCTCCCCTCTCTTCACCTGGCTAGATGAAGGTGCCAGCTCTGAGAACTCTAGGGTGACCACAGGACAAGCCAAGAAGGCCTCGGGGGCCCAGAGAGGAGGGGCTCACTCTTGAGTACGGGGCCAGTGAGTGGCTGAGCCGGGGCCAGAACCCAGGTCTCCAGGAGGGCCGACGGAGGCCCGCTGCCTGCCTCCTGCTCGTGTTTGGTTGCTGTAGGGTAAGGTTTCTTCCTGACTTGTTGATTCCTTATTTCAGCACGTCGCTGAGCCTGACACGTGCCCGGCAGGAACAGCGGTAAACAAGGCCCACGGGACCTGCGCGGAGCCGCGGCCGGGAGCGTGCCCTTGCACGAACGGGGCACCTCATCCATCTCCGGCTGCAGCCGGCTCTCTCAGCAGCTGCTTTTCTGGAGCTCAGCTTCACTTCCAAGATGCCTGCTATGAAGCCTCTTTCCACGGCCATGGTGGGACCCTCTGCCCGGAGGACAGCTCCTCTCCACGCATGGCCTGGCCCGTCTCTCCTCAGGAATTCAGCCCTGGCCAGCCTGGCACTTGCCGTTTGGGGACCAGGCCATCCCGACTGGCATGTAGGCGCCCCTATTCAGAGGCAGGAAATTCCCGGCTCACATGCACGCATCTGCTGTCTGGACCATCCCCTCGGGCACGGGTGGGCTGGTCCCTGCCCGGCTGGCTCTCCTTCCCCTCTCCTGCACCAGCCTGGACGGACCTCTGCGACTTCGCCCTCCAGTGCTGCCCACCCTGCCGTCCCTCCGTCACCATGCCCTGTGACCTTCACATCCCAAACATTTGTCTAGTCTGTCCTGTCTCCACCGCCATGGCCCCTGCCAGACCTACTGCTGTCCCTTCTGACCTGGGCGTCTTGCCCTCACCTCTCCCCCTGCTAACGCCTCTTCATCCCTCAGAAGCCAGTGCAAGCATCACCTCCTCCAAGAAGCCCTCCCTGACCTGTCTACTCGGCTTGCCACCCCGTGCCTTTCCTTAGAAGCACTTGTGCCAGAGGTAGTTGGACCCTTCCACGGGGAGCTGGCGGCCGTGTGCCTCTCCTCTGTGAGCCTGGTGGTTTGGCTCGTCTTGCTCAGCACCGTGTCCTCAGGGTGTCACGCCCCGACTCCAGCCCTGCAGTGCGTGTTCAGCGAATGAGCGCATGAGCGCGCGGACCCAGTCCGGGTCTCTGGCTTGCCTCCCCAGCCCCGTGAAGCTCTGGCTGGACAGCAGGGTTTCCTTTCCCCTTCCTGGCCTCGGACTCGGCCACGCTGTCCTGCTCCCATGACCCAGTGTCCCCGTTCAGGAGACGACAACACCCTCCTCGCTGCAGGACCTGTCTTCACCCTCTTCCCGTGGCGTAAACAGGGTGGTTGCCACACGCTGCCAGCCTGCCCGGGTCTCCTCCCCACGGGGCCCCCTCTACTGCGCCCCGGCTCGACACAGCACCCTCCCTGCTCTCCCCTCCCAGAGGGTGCGGGATGGGGCGTACCACAGGAAAGGTCACCCTCCATCGCCTCGGGGGGCCAGAATCGCATCCGCACAGGCCTGACCTGGCCCCCAGCACCCAGCCCACCTGGGAGCTCCTAATCGGGGCTCTTGTCAGGCTCCCGGTGGCAAACAGTAGTGGAGGAACTAAGCCTGGCGGGGCCGGGGGTCGCTGAGAAGGGCTGAGGCATGCTGGGCCCAGCACACTGCAGCGGCTCCCCGCTCTCTTCGGCCTCCCTCTGGCCCAGGGAACACGGGCATCTGGAAGGGTGGCCAGACAGGAAGGGCTTACTCTTGAGTAAGGGTAAGCACAGGCCGTGCACGACGGGGGCATGTTAAACTCTCCGTGAGTCACGTAGACACGCTGGCTGGGACACAGTGGGCGTTGTCACTCGTGTGCTCAGGGACAGGCTTTGTAGGGTGCCCCTGGCACCCAAGCCAACTGGGGGCAGCAGGAGAGGCCCAGTCAGAGGGAGGCGCGGGGTGCAGCCACCCAGTTCGCTTCGTGGTAGCCACGTGCAGCGGGCACCGGGCACCTCGGCCCTTCAGGCGGTGATCCCGTTCTGTCCTCACGGCAGCCCTGGTTCACGGCTGGTAAGTGGCAGAGCCAGGGTTTGAACCTGGGCTCCACCGTTCACTGCTGTCTTACAGTCCGGCAGCCCGGCTGTCACACGTCACAGATTCCCAGAGGAGGAAACAGGCAGACCGTGGCGTGCCAAGGGGACTCAGGGTCGTCCGTCTAGCGCCCCAGCCATGCCCGGGGCCGTGTCTGACCTGGGGAAGGCCGGTGGAGGGAGGCGTGGCCCTGCATTGGACTCGGGCTCGGGGCTTGGCTCAGGGTTGTCCCAGCAGTGCCGGGTTATGACCACACCTGGGGAGGCCCAGAGAAGGACGCCCTGCTGTGGACCACACGAGGAACTGGGACCCAGAGGACCCAGCTGTCAGGAGAGCGCTTCTTGTGGATTTTTATTCCACGAAAGAGCCCGTGAGGGACACTGAGAGCCCAAGTCATGCCATCGCATGTCAGCGCCTGTCTCCCAGGGCCGTCAGCGGAAGGTGACCAGCTGGGGACCCTGCCTGCCGATGCCTGGAGAACCTCACTGCTCTCTGCAGGGTCGAGGGCTGCCTCTGGCAGGGGGCGGGGGGCCTGGGCGGGCCTGCTCCAGACTCTCCCGGGAGCAGCAGGTTGACCAGCGTCTTTGGATCTGCGAGTTGGCGAGGGACTGCACAGAAAGGGAATCTCAGCACTTCAGTTCACAGGGGCCGTGCAGGAGAGGAGAGACCAAGTGAGGCCGCGAGAGACGAGAGGACCCGCCAGAGCTGCGTGGTGGCCAGTGAAAGAGTGGAGGGACCCCAGGGACCTCAGGGACCTCGGTGCCAGTCTTTTTGCTGCACAGAACCAAGGCGGGGTGAAGAGCGTGGACTGGGGGTGTGGACACGCCTGGCTCTGCTGTGTTCTGGCTAGGGGACCACAGACGAGTAGCAACCTCGCTGAGCCCCGGGTTCCCTTCTGTGTGTAGGGGGCACCTTTCTCAGGGCTAGTGTGATGTTTCAGGGGCCTGATGCAACTGAGGGGCGTTTAGCACCGCAGCTGACAACCCTGCCCGCTGTAACC